GGGAGCCCCCCGCCACCCTTTGCGCGGCGCGCCGCAGCGCCCGCCGCAGATCGCGCCCCCCGCCCCCCCCCCCCCCCCCCCCAGCAGAGCAGCGGCCAGGCGGGCTGCACTCCTGCGCCGTCGAGGCGGGCGGCGGCGCCGTGTGGTGCTGCGGGGCCCAACGATGCGGTGGAAACTCATGCCAAGAAACACCCTGCTTGCCTCCGGGGTGCCCTGGGTTTCTAGGGCTTCCATGGTTTTGCTGTGGCGAGCGTGACGTTCCCACAGCAAAAATCAATGGACGTCCTGGGGTGTCAGGGTTGGGTTTCTTGTGGAAGGTTTCTTGTGGTCGAGCCCCTCCTGGATCAGCGACACGCAAGCGCATAAGTGGAGGATCTCGAGAGGGAGGAGGAGGAGGAGGAGGAGGAGGAGGAGGAGGAGGAGGAGGAGGAGGAGAAGGAGGAGGAGGAGGAGGCAGAGGCGGAGGAGGAGGAGGAGGGGTAGGAGGCGGAGGAGGAGCTCCTACTGTACGGCCGGGGACTCTGGCTCAGCGTGTTGCACCGCTGGCGCCAGCGACCTCTCGGCAGGGGGCGCCTCGGGCGCCGCCCCTGGCGCGCTCCGCGCGCCGGCGCCGCCAGCTGTAGCCCACCGCGCTTCGGCGCGGCACGCCGCCCGGCCACCCGCCCCGCGCAGCGGAGCGACGCGCTGCCCGCCGGCAGCGCCTAGCGTGTCGCCGGGGCCGCCGCAGCGACGCGCTAAGCAGAAGCTCCTGGCCGTATACATCACCACCACCACCACCACTTCCACCTGCCTCACCCCCCCCTCTCTCTCTCTCCATCTCTCTCTCTCTCTCTCTCCCATGCACGAGGAGAGGAAGAGGAGGGAGGGGATATGGAGGTGGTCGTGGTGGTGCATATTCCCGAGACCCCGCAGGTGCTGGGGCTGGGGCGCGGCCTGGCGCCGCGACGCGGACGCGAACAGTTCCGCCTCGCCGGTGCAGGCGGGGGGGGGCGGGGTTAAGGTCAGCTGGCGGGAGTAGACTCGCTATCTTCAAGCGGGCGTGTTCGTCGGTTCCCGGAGTTTCTTCTGCCGCGGGACGCTCTCCAGCAGCTGCGCCTCGCCGCGGGCGCTCGGGGCTGCCCAGATCGTCCCGAACGGCCGCCGGAGACCCGGGCTGCGGCCAGAAAGCCAGACGACGCGCCTGTGCAGGCGGGGGGCGCGTCCCAGCGCCCATGGAAGGAGAAGTCCAGGGCCGTAGCCCCGCCAAGGGCGACGCAGGGGAACGGCGACGTAAAGGGTTTCGCATTGTAGGTGGGCGTGGTTCGTGGCCAACAATTTCGCGCCTTCCTGCGATGTGGTCTGGGCAAGTCCGGCGTCGCAGGCACCGGATTCCCAACGTCGCCGTGAACCCACATTGCCAGTAGCGTGGTCTTGGGAGGGGGAAGAGAGGGGCGCGGCCTGGAACCGCGGTGCGGACGCGAGCAGGCGGTGATGCAGGCGGGGGGGGGGGGAGGTCGAACGCCAATAGCAAGGGAGGAGTCAAGGGTGGAGAGGGCGGTGGAAGTTGTGAAGGGACGAGCCTTGGACGCTCTTGAGCTGCCGTGGACGCTCCCGGGACGCAGAGTGCGAGAATTCAAAGCCTGATGTGATTCACGGGCTTCTGCTTATAGTGCCGGCTCCGAGGGCCTCCAAGACGGCCCAGGAGTTCCCCAAGAGAGGCCTGGGATGATACACGTGGGAAGGATGGACCCGCAGCCTCCAACCACGCTCCCAATGCCTCCGGGAACACGCGAGAGCGCCAAGGAGCGCCCGGAATTTGGCGATCCAGGCCTCTTCAAGAGCATCTACTGCCCTCACTCCAGAGAGCTCGAAGGGACTGGAGGACACTCCACTGAGTGCATCGCGGCACGGTTGCGGATGTTCCCACCGCGTGTATGCTCTCATTCGAGGGCCTCGTCGTTCCGTAGCCAACTTGGATCAAGTTGCCGCTCTGGTTCACGGCTGAAGCTTCTGCTTGACGAGACGTCGCCATTTGTTTTTTTGTTGTTGGTCCGTTCTGAGCAGCATTTAGGGACGTTCTGGGGCTGGATGACGTGATGACGACGAAGAGTGAAGATGAACCATCACCGTCGAAATCATCCCCACCCCCACCGTGACAGGCTAGGCTGGCTCTCCCAGCATACCCCCTCTAGATGGGGATGGGTGCTCTGAAATCCGAAGGAGGCGGTGTCCATCCCCACATAAGGGGGAGTAGATTGCCCAGTGAGGCCAGGGTTCCCCAGTGAGGGTGGGGATTGTTTTCCTCGCCCAGGTTGAAGGCGGTGGGTTGCCCTCGGGCCTGTGAGGGGGGGGTTCTCTGGGGAGGCCATGGCTCGTCCAGAGCACTCTGGCGAATGCTCGCGCCTGCCACCGACAGCGCCCGACAGTGGCCCAACGCCCAATACGGCCGCCAGGGCAGCCCAGCGCTGCCCGTCTTCATCCTCATCCCACCATCGCGTCCTCCTTGTCGTCCTCCTGGCTCCTTGCTCCCACTCCTCCTATACGAGTACGATGCTGCTGTTTCATTTCGCTGTGGCCGGCACGCTTGAGGGAGCCTGAGGGGAACAGAGGGGAGCGGCGACGTCGACGATGACGAATGGACGAGCGTCTTCCACACACCGGCAGGGTCGGCGGAATCTGTATAACATCGGGCCCGATCTCAAGGCCCCCTCGCACGCCCTCTCGCCTTCCGCTGCGCCCTGCACCCCCCGCTCGTGCTCGTCTGGCTCCTCCGCCTCCCGAGCGTGCCCCCCCCCCCCCCCCCCTGTAAGAGCCTCGACCCCTTCTAGCCCCTCGCCCCAGAGAAAGAGAACAAAAGAAAAAAACAGAGAGAAAGAGAGAGAGAGTCGATCGTTCTTGTGGCCCCTCGCCCCAGAGAAAGAGAGAGAGAGAGAGAGCTGCAGGGCTCCCTCGCCGCGCTCGCGAGGGGAGGGCCCCCGCGCGCCGGTCGCAGGGCCTCGCGGGGTCGCGCGGCGGCGTTGCGGCCCTCTTGCTCACCCCACTCCCCTGGCGCTCGTGCTCCTCATCCTCCTCTTCCTCCTCCTGCTCTTCCTCCTCGTCCCTCCTCCTCCTCCTCCTCACTCCTCCTCCTCCTCCCCCCCCTCTTCTCCCCCCCCTCCACCTACTCATCCTCCTCCTCTCCTTACTCTCCTCCTCCTCCTCGTCCCTCCTACTCCTGCTCCTCCTCCTCCTCCTCCTCCTCCTCCTCCTCCTCTCCTCCTCCTCCTCCTCCTCCTCCTCCTCCTCTCCCAAAGCCAAGGCAACCTGTGCCTTCGGCCAGCCGCTCCGTTCTGAGCTGCTCCACGGTGTCCTAGCTGCTGCGCGGCACGCTACTTTTAAGCAGACAGCTGTGGACAAACCACTCCAAGATACGGTCGATCCTCCCCCCCCTCCCCCCTTCCCCCCCTGCCCTTTTTCAGTTCGGCCTTCCAAAATGGGCGATCGAACACGCGTTGGCATCCAGGGGAGAGGGGGCGGGGGGTGCGGGCAGGAGGAGAAATGAGAGGGCAGGCGCGGTAGCAGTCGGACAGATGCGTGGGCTGCTCACGCGGCACTGAAAGATTCAGTTGCGCGGCGATGTTGTAATTCTCGACTCCGCGCGCGGTTCCAGGGTCATAGTTCCCCCAGTGATTTGCCAAAGGATCTAAGGCACACGCAACGTGGTCACGCGGCGTGACCACGTTGCGTGAGATGGTCTTCTCAGGCGTGACTCACTCCTGAGAAGACCACCTCCCATGGATAAGCATCGCTGATCCGTCGATCATGCATTGACGTAATGGGTGGGTCGGTCATGCATAAAATTCGCGCTTATACCGTATACCTCGTGCATGGGTGCTCGTCTCTTCGTTCAGGAATTGGGCAGCGCCGCTACTTCGAGAGGGGGGTCGTCGATCGGAGCGTTCCGCGCTTTGGGATGGGAGCAGAGTCGGAATCCGGCCATTCATCAGCCTGGATTAGGGAGGCGTTCCTACGGCAGGAGGGGAAACCAGGGGGGATATTTGGAGGAGGAGGAGGAGGAGGGGAAAAAAACACAGACACTAAGAACAGTAGGTTCCCTGGAAATATTGAAAATGTGGGAAGTGTAAGGGGAAGACGCCTATGGAAAATAGTGGGAAGCCTGTGGCTTGTGTCTATTTATTTGTGTTCATGGGCCCCTTCATAGGAGGAGGAGGAGGAGGAGGAGGAGGAGGGAGGAGGGAGGAGGAGAGGAGGAGGAGAGGAGGAGGGTTAGAAGAGAGGGGATGGGGGGATTTGTCGGACGCTCGCCAGGCCTGGATCGGAGGGGGGGTGGGGAGTCGTTAGGCCGTGTCCAGGTGGCGGGGATCCAGGACGCCGTGGACGTCGCCTGCGGCTACCAGCACACCTGCGCCATGGATCGGTACGGCGCCGCGACGTGCTGGGGCGAGGCGGTCCGATGCCTCGGCCGCCCTGCTCGTGCTCCTGACCCTGCTCGTCCTCTCCCATCCTATCCTCCTCCTCCTCCCTCCTCACTCCTCCCGCCTCCTCCCTCCTCCTCTCCCTCTCCTCATTTCTCCTCCTCTCGTTCTCCCCTCCTCTCTCTCATTCCTCCTCCTCCTCCTCCCTCCTCCTCTCTCCTCTCCTCTCTCCTCCCTCCGCCCTCCTCTATCCTCGATCTCGATCTCCTCCTCGATCCTGGATATTCCTCATCCACTCATCCTCCTCATCCTCCTCCTCCTCCTTCTCCTTCTCCTCCTCCTCCTCAATCCTCGATCCTCTTCCTCGATCCTCAAACCTCCTCCTCCTCCTCGATCCTCCTCCTCGATCCTCGACCCTCTGTCTCGTTCTCCTGACTTCGGGTCGTGGCGTTCTGGCCCTCGGTCGCAAGGTCACGGCCCCTGCCGCTCCCCCCTCACCTCATGATGTTCCAACCTACTTTAGCCTTGATCAACAGAAAAAGGTTTCGAGCACCACGAAAGTGCCCAAACTGGAGGGTTTTCACGTGTCGGGCCCTGGGAGGCGACACTCGCTCGACCCCGTGTCGATGCTTGTCAGGAACCTCGACATGATTTCTGGCGTGTGGTCCGTAAGCACGATGGGAGCAGCATGCCCCCTCACCACTCTGCCGCTCTCTCCTCTCGCCTCCACTCCCCTCTTCCCCATGTGGGGGGGGCGCTCCTCGATCTTCCTCCTCGTTCTCCTCCTCCTCCTCCTCCTCCTCCTCCTCCTCCTCCTTCGCCTCCTCCTCCTCGATCCTCCTCCTCCTCCTCCTCCTCCTCCTCCTCCTCCTCCTCCTCTTCATCCTCGATCCTCGATCCTCGGCGGCGGCTCCGCCGGCGGAAGCTCGTCGGAAGCCGGCGGAAGCAAAAGTCGGCCTCCCACGAGATGACAAGATGCTTTGGCCCAGGGCTTCCGGAATCGGCCATGTGCTCCAGAGTTCGTAACAAAGGGAGGGGTCTCCCACGGGGGGGGGGTCTGAGATGGCTTGTCTTGGAGGGTCCAGACCCCCTCCCTTTTATTACGAAGTCTGGAGTGTCGTTCCAACCCCCCCGAGCCTACCTTCTCAGCGCCCGGCGGAGCCTCTCGGGCGAGGTCCAGGGGCAGAGCCAGGAGGACCGCGAGATGTGGGACCAATTCTTGCAGACCTACGACATCGATCTCGAGGAGCTTCCTCACTGCTCTCCCTCCCCCTCCTCTCCTCCCCCCTCCTCCTCCACCTCCTACCTCCTCCTCCTCCTCCTCCTCCTCCTCCTCCTCCTTACCCTCCTCCTCCTCCTCCTCCTTACCCTCCTTACCCTCCTCCTCCTCCTCCTTACCCTCCTCCTCCTGCTCCTCCTCCTCCTCCTCCTCCTCCATCCTTCCTGTTGAGTTTGAGTGCTGACACCCAGTGGTTTTTGCCTTGGCAGGGGGGTTTCAAACGAGGCGCCCCGCGCAGCCTCTCAGAACACAAGACGAGACAAGGCCGACATGTTCCATGTTGGCTTTCATGCTTTGCGTTCGGAGTTTCGACATGTACGGCAAGACTGCGGCATAGCGCCTGGCACGCGCGAGAGAGAATCAAACTTCGCCCTTCCTTCAGCGCCGCGGCCGTCTTCCAGAGCTGCGCTCGACGCCTGCGCGGCGCCCTGCTCTTGCCCAGCAGGTCGTAGGGAGCGTGGCCACTCCCGAGGGAACGGAATGCTGTCTCGCCGAAAAGCGCCGCGCGGGTTCTTGTTGACAGCGTTGCAAGCGCACGCAGGCACATAAGTGCGATACACAGCAGCAGTTGTTCACGATGAATCTCTTGGGAGGTCAGATTCTCCAATCGCCGCTGGTATAAAACCTGGCCGAAAGCTGGCTTGGTCGGGTTCACTCCCACCCAATTCAGCTGAATCCCTGTTATCATCCGTGCGAATCCTTCTTGATCTTGGCATCGCTCGGACGTGTGCATGTTGTCTCGGCGGGGGTCATTGAGGAGCATCCTGGATCGTCCTGCGGAAAGAAAGAAATGCACAACACCGAAAATGCACAGGGAATGGACTTCCGAGCGATGGCAAGTCATCTGGTTGAATCTTGGATTTAATCCGACCTGGTCCAGCTCAGTGGCAATTCAATCAGGCGTACTAGCCTCTCGTCGTTCGGGCGAAGACCTCCCAGAAGCCGCCTCTAAAATTGGCATGCGGCCCCCTCCTCCTCCTCCTCCTCCTCCTCCTCCTCCTCCCTCCCTCCCTCCCTCCCTCCCTCCCTCCCTCCCTCTCTCCCTCCCTCCCTCCCTTCCTCCCTCCCTCCCTCCCTCCCTCCCTCCACCTCTTCCTCCTCCCCGTCTCCTCCTCTCCTCCCTCCCTCCTCCCGCCCTCCCATCCCTCCCTCCCTCTCCTCCCTCCCGCCCTCCTTCCCTCCCACCCTCCCCCCTCCTCCTCCTCCTCCTC